TCACAAGAGATGAAACAAATGTGAAATTCCACCAGAATTATTTGATCCTGATACATTCATTTCTGTCAAGACAAATGAACAAGATTAACAAATTTTGTCATCCTAGACCATAATTTACCAGTTATCTCATAAATCTGACATCCTACCCCTGGTCTACCACATCCAGAGCATCAGAAATGTTACAGCTTTCCTGTGAGGAAGAGGAAACTACTGGTAGGTTTGCTTGCTGTGCAAAAAACTGTTGGCTGTTTAAGGTAAAATCACAATCCATTCAATTACTTTAGCTGGCCCATTAATTTTGGAATCTAACTGATGCTGCACTGTCTATACTACATGCCACCAAAGCAGTCATCACAAATTTTGCAAATATTGATGTTAACATTCCCTTGAGGTATCCAGACAGGTAACTTCTCTTCTGTTTTGATGTCATTTATTATAAAAGCCTCTGTGGGATCAATATTTTTAACACCTCCTTCCATCAACTAACCTAGCAGTTGCTATATATATTTTTTTCTAATGGAAGTGGCTTTCTGGTTATTTCAGATTTCACATGCTGCCCCCAGCAAATCTGGGGCAAACCTAGCAGTTTAGGGAGGGGCCTTTAGAATCCTCAGCCAGGGGTTTATTTGGTGCCTTTGACCAAACTACAAATCCCAGGGTTCATACGATGCAGCCATGGCAGTCAATGTGAAATCATAAAGCTATTAATTGTGTAGTGTGAAAGGGCCTCAGGATTCAGTTGTGCCATGGATAAGGAGGAAGAATTAAAGTACCCACAAACATTGTGTGGTGCCTAGAAACACTTCCTGAAAGAAGATAGGGAGAACAACCAGTAGGAAATGTAGCACAACAGAAAAACAAACGGTGGTATATGTTTAGCGGAGAGGGGAAAGGAGGGAGAGAAGGAGGTTGCAAGCAAGAGGAAACATGCAAATTTAAAGTACTGCTAAGCAACAAAACAGGGGTGGATGGGTTCAACCATTCAGCTTGGTGAACTTGCAGTCTCTCAGACGTGCCTCTAGCTAGAGTCCGGGGAGTCCAGATGCAGGCCTCGGGCTGCCTCAGGTGCTGGGGTGGCTCAATAAGTGTGGTTGTGCAAAGGAGAAGGACAAGGCTCCAGGGCACTTACCTCTTGGGGCTCCCCTTTTACTCCCCGGAGGGCACTTGGACCCATGACATCCCTCTTCCCCAAGCCTCGTCGGACCCTCACTCCTCTATGGAAGCTCAAGGGCAAAACAGCCTTCCTCCCAGCCTCCCACAGGGAGCTAGGTTGCACACAGCTCCACAAACAAAGGGCTGGGTAAAAGGCTGGCTCCTGGAAAATCCTGCAGTAAAGTCCAGGGTGACCAGATGTCCTCACCCCAAAGAAGGACAAGGCACCACAAAAATGGAGAACATTCAACAAAAATTGAGAACATGACAAAATAAAAGCTAAAAACAACGCGGAGAAATGTAAATGTCATGCTTCTTAGTCATGCTCAAAATGAAGGACGTTTTGAAATTCCTCCTGGACAGAAAAAGGCTGAAATGTAGGGCATGTGCTGGAAAAAGAAGGACGTCTGGTCACCCTGAATAATGTCTGACATGCTGATTTGGGATGTAAAGGGATCTTGTGACACCTTTGAGACCAAGGTCCAAAACACAGTGCAGAAATAATCCAGTTTGAGCCTGCTTTCACTGCCCTGGCTCAGTGCTAGGAAATCTTAGGAATCGTAATTGTGGCCCCAGAGCTCTCTGAGAGAGAAGGTTTAAGGTCTTACAAAACTATAGTTCCCAGGATTCCCTAGCATTGAGCCCAGACAGATAAAGCGGTCTCAAACTGGCTTATTTCTGCAGGGTGTTTTGGACCCAATTTGCCAATTTATTAGTGGAGCTCACAATAATCTGACATCTTATCACCAGCCTCAGCCCCAGACCTCTGCTGCCATTCTGTGACTGATTCTTGCTGTTGGATCTGGGCCTTTGGAGAAAGGAAGGGCAGATCCCATCCCTCTGAAGCCTGCCCACTCTGCAGTGCATCATGTGTTATTATACCTTTATTATTATGCATGTTATGTCTATCTGGACTGTCAGCCAGCAGGGCCATTTATTCTCCAAGTCAAAGAGACACCTCCCTACCAATTATCTTTCATCTGGAAAATACACGGCACTTCGTTTGCATTGTGTGATCTTGCTTAGTGTCCTTGCTTGTGTACTGGGAGCACCAAACACAAAGAAACTATTTCACAACAAAATCACTTAAGCAGATAAAAAACTCTTACTCAAAAGATATGTGAGCGAAACAATCAAAGGTTTTGAACTTCTATTTATTTTTAAACAAATTAGCTTGATTTTTATAGCAACCACATTATGTGCTAAAATATTCAAGATTTTTTTTTTTTTTTGCAGTTTGAACTATCTACAGTATTTAAAATCACCTCAACAACCCACCCACACAGCTTCTATTAAATACCATGACTAAGAAAGAAGCTCACATTTTATTATAAGTTGTTCTTTACTGCAAGGATTCAGCTGATGAACTCATAATGCAGATTTCTAAAGAATCATGTCCAGATTAAACACAAAAACAAGCCTATTTGTCTCAAAAATGTAGCTTTAGCAGTAAAGTGGGATCAAATAAACATGTCACAATGCAGGTTGAGTCTCCCTTATCCGAAGTACTCCAAAATTGTGCACATAGGTGTCAAAATAGTGGCACCTTTGTTTTCTGTTACCTTCAGGCTATGTGTATAAGGTGTATACAAAACATAAATGTATTTCATGTTCAGATTTAGGTCCCATCTCCAAGATACCTCATTATGTACAGTCACCCCTCTGTTCTCAAAGACTTGAGATCCACAAACTTAAATATTCATGGAGGGGTAACCTCCTTTAATTTCAATGGGGCACCCATGACCTATGGGGCTTGAATATTGGCGAGTCTCCGTTTTCCCAGGACACATCCCCCGCAAAAACGGAGGGCCAACTGTATATGCAAATACTCCAAAATCTGAAAGGGGAAAAAAAAACCACCGGAAATCCAAAACACTTCTAGACCCAAATATTTCCAAAATATTTCAGACAAAGAAGACTCAACCTTGTATAGTAGTGTTACAAAATCTTTGCTATCGTAAATTAATTGCTAGTCAATAACTGTTAGTCCATACAATCAATTATAACAACGTTTAACATACATTTTGGCCTCTATTCATTAGGAAGTCTAATTAATTTCAACAGAATTTACTTTTAAGCATGTGTATTCTCTTGAAGTTTCAAGGTTTAATTCCTACGAAAGTCATACTAGAAAGCCTTTAACCAGCCTTCCCTAACCAGCCATGTGTTTAAACTACACCTCCCAGGAGTCCTTACCACTACCTAGGCCAACAGAAATGGAAACATCTACAGTAGAAAGCATAAATTTGGAATAATTGTTCCAAGCTGATATTGTTCAACAGTATCTGTATAAGGGATCACATCAATTACTAAGCTGGAATCTTTCACTGAAGACTCTTCCTATGGTCAAAAGTAGACCTCACTTTTCTTGACTTTAACGCTTGCTAGTTGACCTCAACAGTCTTCCTTGCCCTCCATGACACTTATTTTTTTTTCATAAAAAAACCATCCCTTCATATTTTTTGTTCCTCAAACCCAACGGAAGACACTTAATTCTCTGATCACACAACAGTTTTCCTAGCATGTTGCAGAGAGAGCTGGAGGGGGAGGAAAAGAGGAAGGTGTAATATATATTTAAAATATTTCTGAATCACTTCTCTGCTTAATGATCATTCAATGTGATTTACAGTAAAATGGCTCACAGCAATTCCAAACAAAATAAATCAAAGCTGATAAAATATTTGAAAGGGGAAAGTCAACTCAAAAGGGCACCCTTGTTCATTAAAGGATTAGTGGAATAATGTAGTTTATACCTAAGAAAGGAAGACTAAAAAATGAATGCTACCTAATCCCCTTGGTAAGGTAGTTCTGCAACAAGGTTGCTATTAAATGAAAAGTCCGCATGCTCCCACCATCCTCACTTCTTCAGAAGTTGGGACATTTAACAAAGCTTCACATTATTAATGTAAACTTCCAGCCAGATTCACACAGAACAAGATGGTCTTTCAGATATTCTGGCCCCGTCACTCAATTCTCTGTTTTCAATTCTGTGAACTGTGATCAGAAGCTTTATAAGTAACACACACACACACACACACACACACACACTTTTCTACCAACTTTGTAGACACGAAGCTAAGACTAACTCTTTATCTCTGAATATGAAAATTAAATGTTGACCAATTTAAGAACATAGCGTTGATGTTACATCCTGGGCATGGGATATATTCCCAATTGCCATGCTGATCATAGGATACAGATACCACAATATAACCATGCCTATTTTTCTCTCCATGGAAAGGCGAACATGCTAAATACATCACAAAAAACCTTTCACAGAACCTATTACACATAGATTTTCCTTATCATTGGTAAGGAATTTATAAATTAAGAATATAAGTGACTCAAGGATTTCCTTTATTTGTTGAAAGGGTCTTAGTAACTCATTCTCACTGAGATAGATTCCATATTATCCAACTGAATCCATAAAGTTAATCATTGAACAAATTCTCTGTTGACTTTTTGGAGGTCAGTCTGAGGGGAGGGGATTAAGTAACTCTCACCAAACATTTCTGTGGAATGACTAATGTATTCGGGGTTACAGAGTAGCTGCGTTTAAAGCAGGGGATATGTTGATTTCCACATGTTAGACATGATCCTGTGGAAATGCACATTCTAGCCAAATAGCATCTTGCTTTTGAAAAGGAAATTAAAATATCTAAATGGTAGGGGGAATCTCATTTTTTTAAAAAAAAAGTTCTTACATATGTTATTGTTGTGTGCTGTCAAGTCTTATGGCAACCCTCAGGTGAACCTATCATGGGGTTTTCTTGGCATGTTTTTTCAGAGGGAGTTGCACTGCCATCCTGAGGCTGAGAGAGTGTGACTTGTCACTGAATGGGTTTCCATGACTAAGCTGGGATTCAAACCCTGCTCTCCAGAGTCACAGTCCAACGTTTAAACCACTACACCACGCTGGCTGTTTGCTTCTTACATTTTATTACCAATTTTACTACAAACAAAAGATAGTACCCTATGCATGCACTTTTAGAAAGCAACAGCCTCTGTTCAAATTCTAGACAGCAATTTTATTTCTGTATATTTTTGAGAAGCTCCACACTGCCTTAAGTCTTGCATAGACAGCATGCAAGAGAGAAACAGCACATACATCTTAAAAATAAAACCTATGTGTAACTGACTATGCTAATGCTTACATGAATGCCTACAAATAAATCAAAATATTGGTATTTTCTGTCCTATATAAGGGAGTGCCAGACCTCATGTCTAAAACCTGCAACAAGTTCTGCATCCTACTCCTGAAAGGCCCTAGAGACAAATCTAATAAATTGAATACTTAGTTTTTCCACCTGGCAGCAAAGCACCTAAGTTTTTAGGAGAGAATAAATATTAAATAATTGATCAGCTTTGATTTCAACAGCTAAGTATTCCAATTTTTCTCCCCACTTCAGCACAGATTCTTTTTCTGTTTCAATTTGTTCATTACAGGTTGCTCACAGACAAGGAGAGGAAGCATGTGCTACACTCCTTTTGAAACTGCAGCTAGTATTTCCCTTTCCCCCCATGTCTAAGTACTACTGGCCCTGGGCTTTTTCACCTGAACACATCTCCCTGGTTTTTGTACCTGATGACAAGGGCAGATATCTCTGTACATACTTCCATTTTGACACTCCTGTCTTGTCCTTCCTTTCCCCATCTCCATCCAAGCTGAAAAAGCCTCCTGCATTTCATTTATGTCCAAATAAGGCTTATATAAGCCCTGCGCTCCTGGTTTATGTAGAAGGCAACCTGATTATAGATTTATTAAACCGAACAGCAGTGGGGTTTGCCCTTTGAGAGAGCCAAAGGGAGAAGGGAAGAAATGGAAAAGCAAGGAAGAGAAAGAAAGAAAGAAAGAAAGAAAGGAGGGCAAAAGGAGGAGGAGGGCTTCTTTTCATCAGCCCCACAGGGCTGCATCCATACTGCAGAGATAACTCAGTTTGATACCACTTTAACTGCCATGGATCCATGCTATGGTATTCTGGGGATTGTAGTGTGCTGTGGCTCTGCTCCGCTCTGGGGTCACAACACACTACAATTCCCACAATACCACAGCATGGAGCCAGGGCAGTTAAAGCAGCATCAAACCTGGTTATCTTTGCAGCAGCGGCATCACTAGAGGGGTGCGGACCTTAAGGGGGGGGTGACACCACTTCTCCTCAAATACCTACCTTTTGGCAGAAATGGGGCTGTGGCATTCATCTGCTTACTTTTGAAACCCTGTAAGACAGAGGTAGGCAACCTGAGGCCCTTTAGACCGTCCCCAGGCCAGTCCTGCCGCCGCCTGCCATGATGATATTGATTATTGTTGTTATTACTTGTTCTTGGGGTTTTCTTGGCAAAATCTCCACAGGGGTTTTGCCATGGCTTTTCTGGGGCTGAGAGAGTGTGCATGCATATATTATTTATTTATTTATTTATTTTGGGTGTTTCGGCCCCCCAATTGTCTGAGGGACAGCAACCCGGCCCCCGGCTCAAAAAGGTTGCCTACCCCTGCTCTAAGAGGTGGTGGGAGTGGGGTGACACTCAGCAGGAGGAGAAAGGCGAGACCCCAGATTTTTTTTTAAAAAAAATGAAATTCCAAATTTTTAATTTAAAAAAAAATGAAATTCTAAATTTCAAATTTCATTTTTAAAAAAATGAATTTTTTTTGCAAAATTAAAAAAATCTTTTTAAATTTTCTTTTTTTAAAAAATAATAATAATAATAATCACATTTTTAACCAAATCTTCACTATGTATCTGTAAATACATTTAGGTTGTGCGTATGATATTGTTATTTGAAGGTATAATTTTTAATTTTGCTACTTGTGGGGCTGATGAAAAGAAGCTCCCGGGCGAATCCTTGGGTCTTTTGCCCTCCTTTCTTTCTTTCTTACTTTCTTTTGCCCTCCTTTCTTTCTTTCTTTCTTTCTTTCTTTCTTTCTTTCTTTCTTTTGCCCTCCTTTCTTTCTTTCTCTTCCTTGCTTTTCCATTTCTTCCCTTCTCCCTTCAGCTTTCTCTAAGGACAAACTCCATTGCTGTTTGGTTTAATAAATCTATAGTCAGGTTGCCTTCTACATAAACTAGGAGCATGGGGCTTATATATTCAATGTTATATATGGGAATTACATGGTTTATGAGTAACATTAATGCCAAAAAGTATTCCTATGGTGTGAAATGGAAGAAGGAGGTCAATGGAGTGAATGCACTGGGAGACACCAACCCTAATGATGTTGTTATAGTGTGTTTTGGACCACACATACATACACACACAACACACACCCAAATTAGGACCCAAGACTGGTGGGGAGGGGGGGGCTCAGGTGGTTTTGTCCTCACTGCAAAGGAGGACAAGGCACCACAAAAATGGAGGACATTCAAAGGGAGAGTGAGAGGAAGACATGACAAAACCAAAGCTAAAAAAGAAGACACTCCTATAAATGCAAAGCCAATGCTTCTGAGTCATGCTCAAAATGGAGGGCGTTTTGACATGCCTCCCGGACAGG